CCCCTCCTTCTTTTTTTTTTTTTCAAGACAGGGTTTCTATGTATAACAGTCCTAGCTGTTCTGAAATTCACTCCATAGACCAGGCTGGCCTCGAATTCACTGAGATCTGCCTGCCTCTGCCTCTCAAGTTCTGGGATTAAAGGTGAGTGCTACCACCGCCTGGCTTAATTCATTTTTTAAAGATTTATTTATTTCTTATTTTGTACGTATGAATTCTTTGCCTGCATGTGTATACATGTACCTGGTGCCCTCATAGATTGGATGAGGGCATTCAGTTCCCTGGAGCTGCAGGTATAGACGATTGTGAGCCACCATGTGAGTGCTGCAAACTAAACCTGGGTCCTCTGCAAGAGAAGTTCATGCTTTTAACCACTGATCCATCGCCCCAGCCCTTCCCCTTAATTCTTAACCCAGACATGTCAGTTCAACTATGGAAAATCTCAAAGCTTGACTTCTCTATAATATCAATAGAGCCCCCTTTCCAAGATATAGAGTAAAGCTAGATTTTTCTATTCAATAAATGTTAAGCCAATTTACATGCCCAGTATTTTCAATAGAGATATTTTTCCAGTGGTGGATAATCCCAGTGCTGCATGAAACGGCATGGTATCATAGAAGCCAGGTGGAATTCTGTTATGGTAGTCCTGGCAGCTAAATGCTGTAAACCATGTCACCTGTTTATTACTTGAATATTCTTTTCTATTTTTTCCTTCCACTATGCGGTGTTACTTACCAAATCCACATGTTACACATGTGTTCTATGAATGAATTCCATAGTCAGCAAGACTTGAATATTCTTTACTCTTGGTTTTACATAGGTACACCCCCCTTTTAAGATAATTGTTTAGTCACTCACCCCACTGCTCAATAATCCACATTATTTCCTTACTGCTTTTCTTACTTAATTTCGATATGCACTGTTACTCAGGACACAGGGGGGCTGTTTAACATTGGAATGTGAAAATCTGAACAATACCATGTGTTTTCCTAGACTCTAGTCTAGTAAGCAGAGGCATCACCAAAGTGGGAATATTCCAACTGTGTTGTGTCACAAGTAGGGATTGGTGAGATGGTGTTTCAAGATTAGCCTTTTTCTATGTTTCCTGTAGGGTAGGCAGGCCTTGAGCTCACTGTGTAGCTAAGGTATGATCTTGAACTCCTGTAGCCCTGGCTATCCTGGAACCCCTTGTGTTTCAGGTGTAAAGCCCTAAATTCTGACTCCCAACACAGCAAACAAATGATAACAGAAAACATGAACTTCAAACGTGTAGATACGAAACTCACAAATACAACACAGAGCAACTGAACTTCAGTCCTCTGTTCTACTAACAATTCTAGAAATTAACAAGCAACTTAAGTGTCTGGACACTCATCAAACATCAACTAACAAAGTACATTTGCCTACAGAATTGAAATATTGCTGGCTGAATGGTTTGTTGTAGTGGCTTCTGGTTTCTAAATTTGAGAATAAAGTTTCTAAAAGTTACAAGTTGGGAGTAATACGGTGGTAGACAGCACAGAGACAAGGAAGGTGTCAGATGAGATAGAGCTTGAGAGATGGGTGTTGCTTTCATTCTAGGACCATCAGAAGCAGCTGCAGCTGGGTATGGAGCTCAGTGATAGAGCATCTCGAATTCTTAAGTCTGTAAATTCAACCTCTAGCATTGAAGAACAAGAAACCAAAAGTTACAAAGAAATCATTGAAAAGGTAGGTTTGGTGGCACATGCCTACAATCTGAGCACTCCAGGAGGTTGAGGCAAGAAACTTTAAGGTTCAAGGACTGCCTGGAGTACCAAGGAAAACCTGTCTCAAAAGAGTTTACAAGGGGTTGAGAGCATAACTCCATGGCAGAGCTTCCCTAACAAGCTTGAGGCCCCGAGTTCAATCCCCAGTAGTGCAGTAATTACATGGTAAGTGAGGTCATAGGCTAGAGCATCAAGTAATCACTGGTTGCCTGACTGTCTGGAGGAAAGGAAGCTGCAGCCACAATAGTGGGAGGAAAATGAGAATTTCCTAAAGAGCAAGGGATTAATAGTATTGACTACTTGACTACTGCCGGGTTCAAATAATGTGAAAATTGAAATCCCAGGATTTAGCAATATGAAAGGTATCACTGAGACCTATAGGCACAAAAACATAGACAACAGATTGGACTGGATTTAGGCAGGTATGGCACAAATCAACAGATCACAGAACATATTCTGGTCTGTGTGTGTGTGTGTGTGTGTGTGAGAGAGAGGTGAGAGAGAGAGAGAGAGAGAGAGAGAGAGAGAGAGAGAGACAGAGACAGAGAGAGACTAGGACAGTAGCTAGAGGGAGGTGTAGGTTTGAAAGTCTGTTTAAGGGAAATACATTCACGATTTTTCAAGTCTTCAAGTCAATTTTGTTAGGTCTTGCCTGAGGGATAGATAGTTAAAATGTTGAAAAGAGGAAATAAACTACAGCAGGGGCCAACAAACTCTGGCCTCTCTTTTGTAAATGAAGTTTTATTGGAGAACATGCACATAAATTCCGTTCAGAAGGGCCCATGGCTTTCTTTGTTCCACAGCAGTAGAGTTGCTGCCAAGAGAGATGATGTGCTTAGAAAAATTTAAGAGTAATTAACCGACTTTTGAAGAAATAAGTTTGCCAATCCTTAGTCTCTAGGCTAGGATTCCATAAATGTCCAAAGAAATTTAGAGATAATTAGAACAAAACAAACAAAAACCAGCTTATTACAACAGAAAAATCATCTATGTGGTTGCCAACCTTCCTAATTCTGTGACCCTTTAATACAGTTCCTCATGTTATGGTGACCCCGACCATAAAATTATTTCTCTGATACTTCATAATGTGATTATGCTGTTATGAACTATAATGTAAATACTTGGGTTTTCCAAAGGTCTTTAATGACCCTTGTGAAAGGGTTGGTACCCACAGATTGAGAACCACTGATCTAGATGAGGGTAAATTTGTACTTTGTTGCTCAAAGGTAAACCCATTTTAGTAATTAGACTGTGTAGTAGACCCACACATACCCTCCTGATGGGACGAAGCTTAGAAATGAAGTTCCTTGTGGGTTAGGGAAAACACGAGTCTGACAGTTTCATCGTATCTAAAATAAAGAGATCAGGAAGATATTTATAGGCATTACAGCCTGTGTGTGGAGGTTTTAAGGAGTGTCCTGAAGGGTATAAAATGGCTAGAATGGAAGGGCTTTTGTTTTTTGGATATTAGAAATAAATGTACTTCCTGCCTCCAAAGTTAAGTAGCTCTTTCTTGGTGGCTAAAGCATTTTCCAGTGGGCTACCAAAGACAAGAATAGATACAAACTGTCTGGATTGAAGGTATTTCAAAGCCCTGGATGTTTTAGGTTCATTAATAGGTGTATGGTGTGTGCATGTGTGTAGGGTAGAGGTTGGCTTCAGTTCTCTGCTATAGATCTCTGCCATATTTGAGACAAGACCTCTTGCTCTGGAAGCTACACTGGCTGGCTAACAAGCTCTCAGGATCTGCCTGTCTCCCCACTCCTAGGGCTACACATGTGTGCTACAATGCTTTCCTCTGGGTGCTGGCCCTTGTACCAGAACAGCACTTCCCTCACAGCCATCTCCCTAGTTCCTCAGTTTAAGAAATTTAATTTTGGTGGGGCTAGAGGGGTGGCTCAGCAGTTAAGAGCACTGGGCCCTTCCAGAGGACTCAGATCTGATGTCTGGTACCCACATGGTGACTTATAACCATCTGTAAAGTCCAGTTCCAGGGAATGTGAGGCCCTTTTGTGGCCTCCATGGGCACCAAGGACACACATGGTGTACTGACACACATGCAGGCAAAACTTCTAGACAAATAAGGTAATTTTAAAATTTAAAAATATAGAAAAGAAATTTTATTTGGGGAACCATCAAGATGGTGTAGTGGATAAAAGTGCTTGCCACCAAACCTGACCGTTTGATTGTCCCCAGGACTGACAAGGTAGAGGGAAAGAACTGACTCCCACACTTTGTTCTCTGACCTCCACACATTAAAAAAAAAAAATGGAGAAAAAAGGGAGGGAGGAAGGAAGGAAGGAGGGAAGGAAGGAAAGAAGGAAGGAAAAGAAACACATTACCGTAGGGTCTAGAGAGGTGGTGCAGTGGTTAAGAGCATTTGCTACTCCTCCAGAGGACCCAGCACCCACATGTTGAGTAACAACCATCTCTAACTCTAGGATGAAGATCTCCACAGGCAACAGCACTCACCTGCACATTACTCCCACACAGATACACAATTATAACATAGTTAAATATTCACATTCTTCTCTGACACTTCATTACTCAGATAAAATGTCCAGGGAAATCACAAGATCCTTCTCTTTGTGAAATAACTCTTCTAAGTTCCGATGCCCATGGTCAGTAAATAAATGGATGCCTCCCTCCATGTATTCACAACAGGATCCATTCAAAATGCATTGGGAGATAAACATACCATACTGCTCCCCTTCCCAATTAGACTTTCTCTCCCAAGGGTTCTTAAAAATGTGCCTGCAGTTCAAATTCTAGTTCTGAACAAACAAGACTATAATCTTTCTCTAGTTTTCCGATCATGTTATGTATTCATATATGATCATATATTCAATGCTACCATCCTTCATCACTTGTTTTTATTATTGCATTTTATTTGTGTATTTAGTTGCGTATGGGCAATAACCATCTGTCACAGTACACATATGAACGTTAGAGGACAACTTTTGGGAGTCCGTTCTCCCTTTTCATTCTGTGGGGTCCAGAAATTGAACTCAGGTTGTCAGGCTTGGGTGCCAAGTGCTTTGGTCGCCTGAGCCATCAGATAACCCCATCATTATTCAACTTAAATATAACTTCTTCCACTGAACACATGTTGAAAACCACAAAAGTCTTGAGGCTTTATTGGATTAATTACACAAGTACTTTGTGAAGTCTTGATCCTATTTTCTAGTCTCTTGTGATCTTGGGTTTCCCACACAGGAAGATGAAGAGCTACCAGCAGCATTTCAGGAATGAATTTAAGGGAGACAGACTGTCAGAGAGTCTGAACTCATGTCTCCATATGGAATACAAAGAGAAAATATAGGTTTAACAGCTCCTCGGAAGGTAAGGTCACAGAAACTATAAATGAGGGATCGATCAGTCACATTGTAGAAGGATACCTGGCCACAGCTGCAGTCAAGGAAGACTCCAACTTTGTGCATTTGTGTTCTCAGACAGACCTTTCTTAAAGGGGGAAAGACCCAGAATGTATAATCGGTCCCCATCATGAACCCCATGAGCAAGAACTTATCTCCAGAAGCCTGAGCTATCTCTGTACAGTCGCATATGCCCAACTGCCACTGTGTTGCCTGTCCTACGTCCACTTCCCAATAATGCCTCCCTGAGCTGAAGCTCTCTGCACCCAACACGGAAGCTCTGAAGTCAAATCTCCCTGGGGCATCAGGCATACTCTGTGGTGTATCTCCAAATCTCATGCTTCTCAGGTCCTCAGATAAGACAAGGGAAGGATGAGCTGTGTCTGGGTCCAAAGTTATATTTCCTGCAAGAAGAGAACTTCAGTTAATCTTAGGGTAAAGCAGACTATGCCAGAGCAATGGTTTCTAACATGTAGCAGCTTCCAAACAAGGGACACGTGGCAGAGGCAATTTAGGAGAACCCTGAAACCAGAGACATGGACAACATGGGGGGGGGATTATGCTGATTTAATAATGAAAAGGGCTGTTGTCTGCTGAGTAAGAGAAAAATAAAAATAACAAATAAATGGTGATAGAATAAGGACAGATTTAGAAGTGTATCTTCAATGCAAAGTCTGTAAAATTGTGCTAAAAGCCAGTAACATCTAGATATCTCTAAGTGACATCCCCTAGAGACCTTTTGTAAATATGATGCTTCCAGAGGCACCAGTGTTTGCTAACAGTACAGGATGGAGAGCTTTTCCATTATAGGTATTGTAAATAACTACTGAGTGTGATACATATTCCTAAGACTTCTGATGGCGGTCCCTCAGCATTACGTGGACCAAAGGAAAACAAACTAGCAGAGGCAAGAACACCTAGAGGACTCCAGAACACCCATTTCAGAACAAGAAGTGCATGGTAACACCTTATTATCAAAGGAAAGTGATACATACCCTCTTGTAACTCATACCACTTTCCTCACCAAATACTGAAATACTTCAAGGCAGCCTGAATGACTTTCTTCTTCCTACTTGCATTTCCTGCCACACAAGATACCTCCTAGCCTCAGTTTTAAATACCTGCTGAATGGTCATGACCTACTCCTTAAATAAAAGCCAACATTGGTAAGAAATGTTGTGCTAATCTTCTATAAGATTAGCTGGGCGGTAGTGGTGCACACCTTTAATCCCAGCACTCCAGGAGGCAGAGACAGGCAGATCTCTTTAAGTTCAAGGCCAGCCTGATCTACAGAGTGAGTTCTAGGACAGTCAGGGCTACACAGAGAAACCCTGTCATATAAAACCAAAAACAAAGAAAAAGAATATAGGAATTTGAAATGGAACTTCAACCTGATCACTCTACAAGGTGGATTTCTAAGCAGTATCCATAATTTATATCCCTTTTGTTAGACTACTTCAGTCTAATAAATGGCACGTATATGGTGTGACAATGGTCCCCATAGACTTACATGTTTGAACATGTGGTTCTCAGTTGGTGGAACTTTTGGAGAAGGATTAGGAGGTATGACTTTGCGGGAGGAGGGCATGTCACTGGGGGGTGGATTTGAAGTGTCCAAAGAATTGTGCTATTTACTTTGTGTTTGTGGTTATCTGAGGGCAGCTCTCAGGTGCTGCTCTAGGCTCCTTCCTCCTGCCACCTTGCCCTGCCATTGTGAATTTTAAGCCCCTGAAACTGCAAGCTCCAAATAAACTCTTTCTGCTATAAGTTGCCCTGGTCATGGTGTTTCAGTACAACAGTGGAGAGGTTAACTGGCACAAGGTTCTCCCAATTCCATTTCTTTCTTTCTTTTTTTTTTTTTTTTTTTTTTTTTTTTTTTTTGGCTTTTGAGAAAGGGTTTCTCTGTGGCTTTGGAGCCTATCCTGGCACTCACTCTGTAGACCAGGTTGTTCTGGAACTCACAGAGATCTGCCTGCCTCTGCCTCCCGAGTGCTGGGATTAGAGGTGGAGCCACCAACGCCCGGCGCCAATTCCATTTCTTAACTTCAGCAAGGAAATTAACTTCAGCCCTGGACTGGCAGTCCACTTCACATTATTAGAGCAGCCACACTGCTCAAGTTAAATTGCAAGTTTTCACAGGTTCTTAAGACTTCTAGAAGATTAGCACAAATAATGTAGATTCTCTCTGGAAAAAAATAGCCTTCATTCCCGGCCTCAGGTATTACTAGAGATACAATCTTAAGAACAAAGAAACTCCCACTGTTAAAAACCAGTAAATATATGTTCACAAAATACAAAACTAGTGCAGAGGGTACCTAGATAAAACGAGCCCCCTTTTAATTAACTAGACATTATTTAAAATAAACTACAATTTAATGGGAGAGAGCTAGATAAAGGAATTACTAGACATGGAGTGTAAAATAACTTTAAAGTAATCTGTAAACACCACACACCCATATAATAGGGAGCAGGAGCTGTCACTCATTGGTAAAGTAGGTGTTTAGCACACATGCTGGTGTTCATCTCCCAGCACCATTCAAATGCCTACAGCATATAGAAAACTTAAAAAAAAATGTGCATAAGAATTTTGTTGGTGGTGGGAATGACCATGTGATTTGCAAACATAACTTGGGTATAACAATATTCATGAATATGCCCACTTACTTTGGAGCTTTAGTAGTCCCTTCTTCATTTTTATTAACAGGCATGAACTCAGGTCTGTGATATGAGCTGGCTTTAGGCTCTGAAACAATAGAAACTCACCCCTTAAAAAAAAAAAAAAAAAAAAAGGAACAATGTCAGTCTGGCCTCTCTCAAAGGATGGACCCTCATTAACTTCTTTTCTTTTCTCTTTGGCTTTTTGAGATAGAGTTTCTCTGTGGTTTTGGAGCCTTCCTGGAACTCACTCTGTAGACCAGGTTGGCCTGGAACTCAGAGATCCTCTTGCCTGTCTCCTGAGTGCTGGGATTAAAGGCATGCACCACCACCGCCCAGATGACTTCATTAAGTTTTATCCATAGATATAACCTCATTTCTGCCCAGCATTCTCATCCCTCATATGTCCAAGACATCAGACCTGTTTTCATCCAATGGTTTCCAGAAACTCACCTTTCTAAACAGAGGTTTGCATTCTATGGGGGGAAATGAGACAAGATTAGTACTGGATACTTGAGCCAAAGTATTTATAAGTCATGCCCAACACACTTAAGAGTATAACACTATGTATATGACTTCAACACAGCAGCAGGCTCTCATTTTCACTACACACACACACACACACACACTCTATTCCTGAGAGAAGCATCACCTGTCCCTCACCCTGGTGACTTATTCAGAGCACTCATCTTTTAAACGGTACCAATGTATTTGCTTTCTGTTGCTGGGGGAATAAGAGTTGGGAAGAGCAGATGGAGGGTCACTAGGCCAAGAGGGCAGTTGGAGCCAAGCCAGGAGCTGAACTTAATTGGGTCACACCTGCTCATGTTGTCTGGAAATAGGTTAGGCTCTAGAATTGAACTATTTCCTCAGGGGTTACCTACAGAGGCTTTTACAGTGGGTTGTTTTATTATTTATTTTAAAATGTTTTTAATGTTTTAAATATTATGAGTTGGGGTTAGGTCTACAGCTAAGTGGTGTTTGCCTAGTAGCTCAATTCCCACTACTACCACTAATGAACACAAAGCTTTTCAGATAAGTGCCTGAAGGACAGAGGAATATGAATAGAATTTAATAGAATTGTTTTTAGTAGCTAGTTTCTTGAAAAGACAATGCATGCTGCTACATAACATTGTTAATACTTACTTACTCCATTCAGGCTGTACTAAACACCCTCACTGGAATAGCTTGTTACAATAGGAATTTTTATCATACACTCTGGAGGTTGATCATTCACAGATGCGGTCCTAGTGAGGTAGATTTCCCTCACATGGTGAAGCCAAACAGGAGGCTCTCTTAGGCCGTTTTAGAAGGTCTGTTGAGGAGAGCGCCACCTGACATGAACAATCACCTCCTGAAGATTGCATCTCTATTACCTTTACCCCTGAAGGTGAGGATTTCAAGGTATGAAATATATGAGAACAGACAAAAGTAGATGTTACACAATCCCCCTACCCACCCATTTCCAGGTTATGGGTCATTACTTTGTAGAGGATATTTGTCTTTTTGACAGTGTTTGTGAATGTAAACAATCGTGGACAGATTTACATACCAATTATTTTCTAAACCCTGAACAAGAAGCCATTGTGCATCACTTCTTGCCCATTCAATGAGATATTTTAAAGACTATGTCAGTGCCTGGAGATACATTTTATTCTTTTCATAGAGTATTTTATTGGATGGGTGAGAGGCACACCATAACTCAAACTTATTATTTCACTTAGAGACAAGGTTTTTTTTTTTGTTTTTTGTTTTTTTTTGAAACAGGGTTTCTCTGTGTAGCTTTGGAGCCTGTCCTGGAACTCTGTAGCCCAGGTTGGCCTTGAACTCAAGGAGATCCATCTGTCTGCTTCTGCCTCCTGAGTCCTGGGATTAAAGGTGTATATCAGCACTGCTCAGCTGAGACCCTGGCTAGCCTACAACACACAGTAATCTCCCTGCCTCATCCTCCCAAGCATTAGCATTACAGGCATGAGTTATTGTGTCTGGTTTTCAAACTTACTCTGAGATGCTTCAGACAGAACATGTCTAGCTCCTCAAATATTTGTCTTATGGTAAAATTGATCTAAGTTCACTATTCTAACATTATAAAACATACCTAAAGAGAGAGAGCATCTATCACACACACACACACACACACACACACAGAGAGAGAGAGAGAGAGAGAGAGAGAGAGAGAGAGAGAGAGAGAGAGAGCAAGGCTCAGGGTCATTTGAAAGAGGGGAAAATGACTACAAGAAAATATTGTCTTCTGGACACAGGAGGCCAGTTGCACATATGAACTCACAGCAGTTGTGACAGCATCCACAAAACCTTGCAAGTCCCAGCATGATGAGGTGAGCTGGACACATAATCTCACCCCTAGTCATGAAGTTATTAGAAACTACTAGCTGCTAGGAGAGGCGGAGACAGTTTTCTTTATAGTGTAGCCCCTGGTAAAGCAACCACTCTTCAATGGAACAACACATCCAAGCATATTTGAGCAGCATAAACATTGGGTGGGAAGGGTGGATCGGAAAAAGTTTGGGGTGGTAAGTATGATGAAAACACATTATATTGAATTCTCAAAGGACCAAATATTTTTTCAATTTGAGACAAAGTCTCACTATGTAGTTTTTGCTGGCCTGGCACTGGCTATGTAGACCAGATTAGCCTGAACTCAAGAGACCCACTAGCTTCAAAGGATTTTTTTTTTTTAATAAAAAGAAATACAGTATATTATCGTTATCTTTTGTCACATTCTTATACAGTAAAACACCAGAGCTTATTCCTGGCATCTATCAATCATCTATTCAATACCCAGTCAACCTCTCTTGCTATCTCCCTCTCCAGCTTTCCCCCAGTCTTTGTTAATCATACTTTGTCAATTTCTTTGACAGCCATTTAAGTTCTACATATGAATGGGAATCTTATGGTACTTTCCTTTCTATGCTTGGCTTACACTTAAGATAAGGATCCACACATGATGCATTTATTTGCATCACATTTATCCATTCCTAGTACTGTGAAGTTTTTTTGGCACAAAATTTCATTCCCTTCACATGCATATGCCCGAAGTGGGACTGAGAAAGCTCAATGCTACTCTCCATATGGCTACGCTGCTTATAGTCCCATCAACGGTATTCCTTGTGCAGTGGCTGCCTAGCCTTCACATTGGGTTGAAGCTCACCGGAATTCTGGAAGTGAACCCTAATGAGTTCTGCCCCCCCCCCCTTCAGTTCTCAAATGCTGTCAAGGAAGGGTTTTCTCCAGGGTTACCTGGAGCAGTGCTACTGCAGATTCCCCACACTTCCTCTCCAGTTCCGAGATGGTCTCCTGGAGGCTGCAGAGGAACTTAGAAGCACAGACTTCATTCGTCTTCAGTTTGTTCATGTTCTCTCTCCCCACGTGGCTAAGTCTCTGTAGATACATGTCTTCATTACCATTCAGTCATTTGTACCTTTTCTTATTTACTCTTTCTACCTTGTCCTGTAAACCTGCTTTCCTCCTCTGAGGAATGAACACAGTCAGGTAAGATTTGCTTCTCTGTGAAACAGGTGTCTTTCAATAGAATCTTGAGTAGGGTGAGGTAACAGCACACCCTGTGATCCAGGTACTTGGGAGGCAGAGACAAGAGGCAGAAGATCTTGAGTTCAGGCCCGCCTGGTCTACAGATTAAGATTTCATTTCTAAATAAACAAATAAGTAGAATTGTATCCATTGTTTAATGTGCTAAAATTAAAGTAGGCATTTGTTCGTATAATCTGCACCCCAAAACATACCACATTCTTTCTGGTGTGACATTTTTTTCAGAAGTTCAATGTCTCACCACTACTTAAAATTGTAAGTTAGGGCATGGTATCCCTTTAATTCCAGCACCCAGGGCAGAGGCAGGTGTCTTTCTGTCAATTTAAGGCAGGCCTGTCTACAAAGGAAGTTCCAGGCCAGCTAGGGCTACAGAATGAGACACTGTCCCTAAACCAGTTTTTGTTTTGTTTTGTTTTGAAAGACAGGATCTCTTTGTATAACCCTGGCTGTGTAGAACAGGCTGGCCTCAAACTCACAAAAGATCTATCTGCCTGCCTCTGCCTCCCAAGTGCTAGGATTAAAAAAATGCCTGGCTTCTCAAAATTAAATTTTTAAATTTATACTTTAATTAGTAATTAGGAGGTGCTTATATAATTAGACTATTGATCACTTGTTTTCTTTTTTATCCTCATAAAGGTATTAGATTTCACTTAATCTCATTAGCACATGGTTATATTAATTAGTTAAAAAATCATTAGATTTTATTTCTCATCTGGCAACTTGTTTCTTTCTTGGAGAATTCTTCCCTGATACTTAGAGTATTGCTTTCCCTGCCTCATATCAAGTAGCATTCCCTTGTACAGCTAGCTGCCTCCTAGGTCATGCTGCAAGGCTCACGTAGAGGGCTATAGGTTACATTTAATCTCCTGTTGTCATTAAAGATCACAATGGTAATAACAGTGCCTGCTATTTACAGATGGCTTAAAATGTACTAGGCACTGTCTAAGGGCTCTCTGTGGATTATCTCAGCCAAAACCTGCAGCAGCATTATGAATTAGAGGCCATTGCTATTTCCATTTCACAGCCAAAGAAATTAGGTTAGATATGGAGCTGTTCAGGCCCAAGTTTACCTAAAGGCTACTTAGTATCTACTAGAACTCAAATTTGAGTCCCAGAGACCTGTCTTCTGCGGTTAACGCTCAGTGCTGTCTTAATGCAGCAGGAATAATAAAAACCCAGAAAAAGATATGGAGGTTCAAGCTGAAGATCAGAACAGCTAAGCCACTAGCTCTTAACTCTTCCTCAGGCTGAAAGGGTGATCCTCTCCTCAACGTGGCTGAATGCTGACTACTCTCTCTAGCAATCCTCAGACTGAAAGCCTCATGAGACCCTGAAGTATTATATAACTCTCTAGTGCTGGGATTAAAGGCGTGGGATCCCAGGTGCTGAAATCCCCTTTGTGTGAGCGCTGTTTCTCTTTTTAGACTGATTCACTCTGGCGTAGCCTGGGGTGGCCTTTAACTCACAGAAATCCATCTGCTTCTGTCTCCTGAGTCCTGGGATTAAAGGTGTGTACCACCACTGCCTGGCCTCTATAGCTATGGCTAGCTATGCATTCTGATCTCCAGGCTAGCTTTATTAGATCACCAACAATATATCACCACAATCTTAGCCATGTATCTTTCCATGGATGCAAGTATATTAGCAGTGTAATATGAGATAATGAATATATACAATTTTACCTTCCTTGCTTCTCTATTTATAGTTGTTTGGATGGAGACATATAAAAGAATTGTAGGTGAGAACACACATACACTCTGCACACATGTGGCTGTCACTGAATAATTTATTTGGGAACGGATATACTGCTTATCGATAACTTCCAGAATATTCTCTCACCTGTAGCTTTTTCTGCGACTTGAGCTTGAGCTCAGTACTAAGCTTCCTCAGCTGGTTCTCATGAGCTTCTTTCAAATCCTTTTCAAATGTGCAGGCTGGCTGTCTAAGAGAGGGCAGCTCCATCTGTTCAGTCAGTAACAGGAACCTCATCTTATACTCAGCCTGGACAATCTCTTTAAACCTCTGCTCTTCTTCCTTTCTCAAACATAGGTGTTACAGATTTCAGGTTAAACAAAAGAAAATGACAACAATTGTGAACCTTCTTCTTTAACCACATCACAACCACAAAGGGGATTCCTTGACGATTCACCCAGGGTATCATCAAAACCGTAAACTCAACTGTGTGGGTGGAGGAATGTTCACCGACTTTAGGAAGCCCAGGAAGCAAGGCTAGGTGTGATCTATAGTCTTAGGGCAGTTGAGGCTGAGGCAGGGGAAAGCAGTGTTTGAGACCAGTATGAACTCCTTGAAAAGTTTGTCTCAAAAAAAAAAAAAAAACAAAAAAGCTAAGGAAACTATGACCCCTGCCTAAAGAGATCAGGAGTGTTCTCCTACATGAGCAACATTCTAACAAACACATTAAGGTTTTTTGTTCTGTTTTGGAGATAAAGTCTGGCCTCAAGCTTGCTTGTAGCTGAGAGTGACCTTGGTCTTTCTGACCCTTCTGCCTCCATCTCCCTAGCACTAGGATTACAGACATCACCACCATGCATGGTTTTGCTGGGGTCCAAACTCAGGGCTTTATGAGCGGTAGGCAAACACTTTACCAATTGAGCCACATCACCCTTGCCCAATATGCGCTCTCTCTCTCTCGCTCTCTCTCTCTCCCTCTCTCTCTCTCTCTGTCTCCCCGTGTGTGTGTGTGTGTGTGTGTGTGTGTGTGTGTGTGTGTGATTTTTTGTTGTTGTTGGTTGGTTTTTGGAGTGCTTTCCTTTGGGACAGACCTCGCTAAGTCAGCTTAGGTTAGCCTGGAAGTCACCATGTAAATTCAGGCTTTACCCTCTCAACTTTAGCTCTATGTCACTGTTTGTTTTTTTTTTTTTTTTAAACATTTATTTATTATGTATACATCATTCCTCCTGCATGTATCCCTGCAGGCCAGAAGAGGGCACCAGATCTCATTATAGATGGTTGTGAGCCACCATGTGGGTGCTGGGAATTGAACTCAAGACCTTAACCTCTGAGTCATCTCTCCAGCCCTAGTTTTTTCTTTGTTTGCTTGTTTGTTTAATTTATGTTTAAGAAACAGAGCAAGCAAAAAATTAAACTCAAAAGAAAACAGGAGGATTTATTTCTAACACACAAAAAAGATTATTTGCACTTTCTTTTCTGTGAACTTGTTTCTTTGGTCATTTTTAAAATTAAATTTCTTTCTTCTTTCCCTCTCTTTTTTTCTTCACTTTGAAGAGCTTTTTATCAAGAAATTAGTCTTCTGGATAGAGAGATGAGTCAGTGGTAAAGAGCACTTGCTATCTTGTAGAGGACCAGAGTTTAGTTCTCAACACCCATACCAGTTGGCTCACAACTGCCTACAGCTATGGCTTTGGCTCTGACTCTAGGGGACTGATTCAATGCCTACTTCTGATCTCCTTTGACACAAAACTTAGATGATCAAACATATTTGTAAATAAACCCTAAAATAAATCTTTAAATACGATAAAGATAAAAATAAATCTTTAAGGGGGCTAACTTATGTAATGCATTTTATGCCATTAAACCGAACATTGATAGTGCTGCTAAGTGCTGCAAACAGTTGACTGACAGGCATTTGCTGTGGAACAGGAACTGGAAAGTACGACAGTCTAATGTGCAGAAGGGGTCACAGAGCTACCTACATGCAGAGTCATGTATTAAATACACAAATGAAACATCAAAATTCAGTGACTTTGATTTTATATGTTCAATATTGTCACTTTAGTAGGATATGGTAAAGAATTGCTTAATTAAGAATTAAAATTTCTTGGGCTGGAGAGATGGCTCAGAGGTTAAGAGCACTGACTGCTCTTCTAGAGGTCCTGAGTTCAATTCCCAGCAACCACATGGTGGCTCATAACTATCCGTTATGAGATCTGGTGCCCTCTTCCGGTGTGCAGATATACATGGAAGCAGAATGTTGTATACAGAGTAAATAAATAAATAAATAAATCTGAAAAAAATTAGCTTCCTTCCCTTTATGGATTCCAAATACTTTCTCCTGCTCCACTATCTTTTTCAGCTTGTTGATACTGTATTACCTAATTTCTATTATTGATAGGCTCCCTCTCCCCAGAAGCAGGATAAACCTCACCTGAATCATCAACATTCTCTCTTGCTCGTCAGCCAGTAAGCTTTCAGCTGCTTCCAGCTTCTCCTCCAACATAACCAGTGTTTCCTGGAGTAACTTCTACCGAGAAACAGACCACGGAATTGCAGGTTAAGTTCGTTGTATGAGTACAGGAAACCATACACACACACACACACACACACACGCCCCCAAGTTTCTCTGTGTAATCCCTAGTGTCTTGGAACTCACAGAGATCTGACTGCTTCTGCCCCATGGTGCTGGGATTAAAGGCAAGTTCCACCACCAATCTGCTGACCCGAGGATTCTTTTTTTTTCCGTTTTTTGAGACAGGGTTTCTCTGTATCTTTGGAGCCTGTACTGGTACTAGCTCTATAGACTAGGCTGGCCTCGATCTCAGAGATCTGCCTGCCTCTGCCTTCCGAGTGCTGGATACCAACAGACTAGCTATTGTGGTATTTCTTAATCAACTCCCAAGGATTGTTTCTGGAGAACAAGTACTTATCTGTCCAATCAATCAATCAATCAATCAATCAATCAATCAATCAATCAATCATTAATCGGGAGTTAGCCAGACTGGTTTCGGTTTCCCTTACCCTATAATATTCCGCAGCCTCCTGTAGCCCATACACCTCATGCTGCATGTGCTCCGGAGACTGGACACATTTGCGGCAAACTGTGATTTCCTCATCGTCACAGAAGAAATGCAATGGCTGCAGGTGTATTCCACATAGGGCCTCCTCTGCGGTGCTGCGCAGTACCTGGGGCTTGGGCATTTGGGACATTCTGGTCAGTGCTGCTTATGAATACTGGTCTGCTTGTTTCTGGTGGTGACAGTTTTCCCTGCAGATGAATAGGAGGAGACAAGGAGATGCTCTTTGTGATCTGAAGCAGGCCCACTTGGCAACCTCAGTGGAGCAGAGTCTGGCCAGCTTTTCAGTAGGCAGGTTCTGAGAAAGGAGATCCACCTATCTCTGCCTCCTGAGTGCTGGGATTAAAGGCGTGCGCCACCAACGCCCCGCCGGTAACACATATTCTTAACATATGTTCTTAAAGAATATCTTCTTGTTGGTCAAGAGAGATGACTCAGAGGTTACAAACATGTACTACACTTGTAGAGGACTGGAGTTCACAAAAGAGAGCAACTCCACCTTCAGAGGATCCAACAGTTTTGGCCTCCTTGGGTACTTACAGTTATGTTCAGGTACCTGCACCCCCCACCCTCCACAATTAGGAGTAAAATAAACCTTGCCAGGTGAAACAGTGAGCATTTTGGAGCCCAGCACTCTGGATGCAGAGGCAGGCTGCTATCTAGTAGAGTTTGAGGGCAGCCTGGTCTACATAGCAGGTTCCAGGCTAGCTAGTGCTACACACTGAAATCCTGTCCCAAACAACTAAGAAACACATACATAAATTTCTTAAATACTGTGCTTAGTTGTCTATTTATTTATTTATTTATTTATTTATTTATTTTTTAGACAGTGTCTTGCCCTGAAGCTCTGCATCCTGAGTGTGTTGGGATTAAAGACATGCACCATCATGGCTAGCTACATAGATCTTAAAGTAGAGGTTGTCTAAAGGATTTTTCAGGCATGGTGGCTCATTCTGTAATCTCCCTCACTCTGGAGGCTGAGGCAAGAGTGCTGTGAGAGTTAGTTCAGGGACAAACTGTGTCCATATAGTGTCTTTAAAAACAAAAACAAAAAACAACACTTTCTTTGATGGCTAATAAATAAAATGGGCTGTGACTCATTATTAAGTAGTAGCAACCAGTTCCAATAGTCTTTATGAATGTATAGTCCTAGCTTCAAAAGGGCTTATTTTACTTAAGAATACACCAGGGATGGGAATGCAGACCAGTCGCAGAGTGCTTGCTTAGCATGTGTGAGGCCCTGGGTTCAATTTGATCACCCTAAACGGAAAAAAAAAAAAAAAAATCGCCCATTGGGCATCATGACACGTACACATGCCCACCCAAAATCTGAATTGTTACAGGACATTGGATCACACCCCCGGATTGCATTAGGCAAAACCTGTTTCTAGCTGTGGTGTTTCTCAGTCCTAACACACACGTTTAAGAGCTTTCTGCTTGAGTATCATAAACAGAGTTAAATAATGTCAACCACAGGTCCAGAGACTAAGTAAGCAACCAGTTGACAGGAAGTAAACATTGGGTTATTAAGAAAAAGCCGGTTGGGGGTGGTCCCAGCACTAGGGAGGAAGAGGCAGGCGAATCTCTGTGAGCTTGAGGCCAGCCAGCCTAGTCTAACAGAGTTCCAAGACAGATTGCAAAGCTACACAGAGAAATCCTGTCTGCATGGGGGGGGAGGGATTAAGAAATAACATAGAGAATAAGAGAGAGTCAGGAAGACAGATAGAGAGCACTCAGGAAGTAGAAGGGAGGTACATTCTGTTTGAGGAGGCTTCTGGGATGTCTGCTGAGGAGGAAGGTCATCTGGGTACTTTCCAAGCTGCCCTGTCTGTCTGTCTGTCTGTCTGTCTGTTTGTCTTGCTCTCTCTGGTTTTTCAAGACAGGGTTTCTCTGCGGTTTTTCAGGCTGTCCGGGAACTAGCTCTTGTAGACCAGGTCGGTCTCGAACTCACAGAGATCTGCCTGTCTCTGTCTTCCTAGTGCTGGGATTACAGGCATGTGCCACTAACACCCGGCTTCCATGCTTCTCTAAGCTAGCAAGCTTTCCACTCAGCACCCGGATCCCAATTGGTAAAATTGAACAACTGAGATTTTGATAAAAACTCAAGACATGACCTAGGAGGATTCCCTTGAATTTGAAGCCAGACTGGGCTATAGAGTGAGATCATGTCTGAAAAAGAAAAAACAACATCAGGTTTGAGAATAGCAACCAATAAACCAATGGATAAATAATAATAATAAAAAAGTAAGCTACATCTCTAGATGTAGCTGGGCGGTGGTGGCACACTCCTTTAATTTCAGTACTTGGGATGCAAAGGTAGGAACTTGAAATGTTACTGTTTGGAAGGACTGGAAACTAAGAGGCCATTTCCAAAAGACTAATGTATTCTGCCTCACAATTATGCATGGAAAAAGGAATTCACACGACAAAACAGCTAGGTGAGAAGCACAGGATTTCAGCTATTTGGGAGACCAGGGCAGGATCATAAACTGAGGCTTACCTGAGTTCCAGAATGAGTCCAAGATGAACCTGTGTGGGACTTTCTACAAAAATGACCAAAAAAAAAAAAAAAAAAAAAAAAAAAAAAAAAAAAAAAAAGAAATAAAGAAAGGAGGCTGGGTGTTTGTGGCACACGCCTTTAATCCCAGCACTGGGGAGGCAGAGGCAGGAGCATCTCTGTGAATTTGAAACCAAACCAAGCCTGATCTACACAGCTCCAGGACAGGCTCCAAAGCAATACAGAGAAACCATGTCTCCAAAAACCAAAAAAAAAAAAAAAAAAAAAAAGTAAACCGAGGCTGGGTGTTTGTGGCACACGCCTTTAATCCCAGCACTCCGGAGGCAGAAGCAGGCATATCTCTGTGAGTTCAAGGCTAGTCTGATCTCCAGAGTGACTGCCAGGATAGGCTCCATATCTACTCAGAGAAAGCCTGTCTCCAAAAAAAAAAAAAAAAGTCTCCTGTTTTTCCAAATGCACACCTGTGTGAGGTCAGATTTCAAGCTAACAACCAAACCCATCCATTGTTAAAGACAGAGCCCCAAGCAGATACCAAGAAACAACTTCTCTGACAAGCCATAACTGGAATAGCCTGGAATAGCCTCACAAAACTGCAAAACCATACACTATTCAAAAAATAAAAATAAAACTAAAAATAAAGGTGACTAAGGCCTGGCATATTAAGCACTCAATATTTCAAAAATATTAAAGACATGTGGCATCTTTCTTTAATCTAGGATTTGGGAGGCTGGAGCAGGCAGATCTCTGTAAGGCAGCCATGGCTAGAGGAGACCACGTCTTCTAAAAACCGGCATATTCAGGGGTTCTCTATGTCTCTATGTAGTCCTGGTTGTCAGGAAACTTGCTATGTAGACCAAACTGGTGTGGAACTCTCAGTTCCTCCTGTCTGTTTCCTGAGTGTTGGGATTAAGTGTAACACCACAGTCATCCTTAAAATCAGTATTTTGTCTCCGAGCATTGGTGGTGCACGCCTTTAATCCCAGCACTCGGGAGGCAGAGGCAGGTGTGTCTTACAGAGCAAGTTCCAGGACAGCCTCCATAGCTACAGAGAAACCCTGTCTCAAAAAACCAAAATAAACAAATAAATAAAAATAAAACAATATTTTGGGGCAGTTGGGGGAAGGGGTCATGACAAAATCTCCCACCAATCAGCAAAGTATTAAAGCAATATCAAAGGACAGGAAAAATATTAATTTTTAAAAACAAAATCACAACATTCATGCTTGTTTTCTCCTAATGTTTTATTTTCCTTTGTCTGGCCTTCCTCTCACATATTCTTTTATCCTTTTTATTGCGTCATCTGTCTATCTATCACTACTATCTATCAGTCAATCACCCATCTATGGAGATTCCAAGTATACTAACACTGAGGAAGTTGACCAGGCAAGATGGTTCACCCGGGCTTGTAACGCCAGCTCTTGGGATCTAAGGCAGGGGGAGCTGCTGTGAGTTCTAAAGGGGCCAGCAGTCCAAAGCAAACTACATCTCATTTTAAAAAAAGCTTGGTCAGGAGGTGCACTCCTTTAATCCCAGCACTCCGGGTGGGGGGCAGAGGCAGGCGCATCTCCGTGAGTTTGAGGCCAGCCTGCTCTACAAAGCCAGTTCCAGGCCAGTCTGGGCTACCTATGGAGCTTCGAGTCCCAGTGCCCACAAGTCGCCTCTGCCATCCAGTTCCAGGGGGCTCCAACACCCTCTTCTGAACTCTGCTGGCACCAGGCACGAGCGCAGTGTGCAGACTTGCATGCAGACAAAGTGCCCATACATGTAACATAAATAATTTTTGAAATAAAAAGCTGGGCCTGTGTAATGGCTCAGTGTGTAAGCACTTTTGCCAAGCTTGATGACCGAATTCGGCCCCCAAGAACCACGGGGTCGGAGAGAGAGAGCCGACTACACCGGCAAACCTGACCACCATGCATGCTTGCCCCATCTCCACTAGGCTCCCAGCCCTGCACATGCGCACACAAAATAAATACATTAGTAGTTGAAAAAAGTTACGATGAAGGACACAACACATCATGGAAGACTCACCTCTTTCCTGAAATTTTAAAAATAGACGAAGGAGACCGGAGATTTCTGTCTGTATTGAGCTCAGTCGTTCCTGGGTAAAAGTCAATCAGATCTCCATAGTTAACCTCTAGGACCATTGTGATTGGCTTGAGTTAGTTAAACCTATTTCCTGGCCCCACCTCCAGGACTGTTGACTCAGTAGAACCCTGGACTCGTAGGTTAATTTACATGTCTAAAGAATTTCTAGAAAACCCTGTAAAGCACTGACCTTCAACGGTAATCTCAGTCTCAGCCAATTAGGACAGTGTAAACCCATAATCCTTGCCTTGAGAGACTGAGCCAGGAGGATTGCTGCAAATTTGAAGGGAGTCGAAGCTATGAAGTGAGTTCAGGTCAGCTTTGTTCAGAGAGAAAGAGATTCTGGAATTTTTACTAAGCAATTAAAAGAAAAAGAAGAAGAGACCAGTGGTGGCGCACGCCTTTTATTCCAGCACTCAGGAGGCAGAGGCAGGCGGATCTCTTTGAGTTTGAGGCCAGCCTGGTCTACAAAGTGAGTTCCAGGACAGCCAGGGCTGTCACACAGAGAAACCCTGTCTCAAAAATAA